GACACCTGCACACACGCATCCATAATCACATCACATCATTCTCAATCTTCAGCACATCCAACACAAGGTCTATTTGTGCAAGTTTAAAATATCAACTGTTAAAGATTGTCCAACAAGGTTGTCAATGTTGATTATTTTTCCTATGATTGTCATTTCAAATCATTAGTTTAAATTAAGAATTAAAATTCTTAACTTACAAACTTGTCTATTCATTGAACTGAAACACAGACACATGGATATGATCGTCAGTTTATCGATGAAAACAACCTTTGAGTCTTCTTAATTCTATAAAATTTGGTTATTAATTTATAAAAATTAATATCTCAAATTAATATGTAGAATGGTTCCTCTTTCATAAAAGAGCCATAAACCATTACACTACAAGGTGTTGATAAGACGAACGCACAGCGAAGAGACAGATTTTGGTGTTGGTTCCACAAACGGACACTAGGGCATGTTAAAAGCATGCCAAAACTGCCCAGTCTGCTTTAATTTAACCTGAAAAGATCCATGCTCTCTTTGTGCAATCTATATCGCCCCTAACTGGAGTTGCTTTTCTAATATGTTATTGTTAGTCTCACAATTATTGTCTTGTTGATTACAGCTCAGTCTCATGTTGTCACTCACAGAAACAAAACAAATGAAAGATTTTAAAAGTATTTTGTTAAAAGCTATTGGAGAGAAGTTGGTATCAGCAGGTCAGAGCTGTAGGAGTCAGAAATGAGAGTCAGACCCCGAAAATTGCATCCCTATGATTTTAAAGGTGTCCTTGAATTCAAACCTTGTTGAATAAAGTCAGCTTGGGGCATCTATTGGCGCCTTCACATCTGGGCCCGCACAGACCAGACCTGAATGGGTAGCTTTTGTTCATATCTTCGTCAAATCTGCATTTTCCTGTCCCGTCCAACCCTTTATTCAGACCTCCTCCCCAGTGGTCAGACTGGGGCCGAAGTGACACTACGAACTGATTGGCTGGCTGAAATTACACCTACCGCCTCCGATCTGCAGGTAGAATGAGCCAGCCAGGGGGGTTCCCGCATGCGCAATTCATTTTCATGCTGGATGCTGTTGAGTAAACTTTTTTGTAGCACGGAGCTGAAGCTCAGTGGGAACGGGAGAAGAGAGTGAGCTGTGTGTGTGTGTGTGTGTGTGTGTGTGTGTGTGTGTGTGTGTGTGTGTGTGTGTGTGTGTGTGTGTGTGTGTGTTCCCTTCCCCAGTTAGGTCTGGTTTCTTCCACTGCTCAGTTCTGCACCTCCTCTCTGTTATTAGTTTCACCTGTACCCAATTCCCCACACACCTGCTCCTGGTCTCCTATCACCCCAGCCCTGTGTATATAACCCTGTCTGTGTCTCCAATGTTTGTCGGTTCATTGTCTTATGTCAGTGTTGCTTTGTCCTCTAGATCAGGGATTCCCAAAGTGATTCCCCAGGGGGTGCGCGAGCTGCCGCTAGGGGATGCGCGAGGTGAAAAGTGTAATGGCTGCGGAGCTCAGAGAAGTCTGTCATATGTCACCATTAGCATAGCCAGAAACTCATTTGTGGGTAGGCCAAAGAAAAAGTAAGTGGGCCCAATAAATGTATTTGAAAACAAGTCTATTTTTGCGCGCACGTGTGTGTGTGTGTCCTGCGCATGTGCCCTAGCTTCATAATAACAATGCGCCGAGCTTCAGCACTCTGGCCTGCGCACGCCGATATGTTCCGTATTTGATCATTTTTAACGGCGTTGGAGGAATCTGAAGGTGGTGAGTCACTCTGGCAGATTGTAAATAACACCCTGTTGTCATGGTCTGCATCTGTGTCTTCCCCATGTGTCTCCTTATGTTCTCCATCCCTCTTTAGATTCCCCTTTTGTGTCTCATAGCACCCTCATGTGTTGTGTGTCGTAAGTTGTAGCCCCAGCCTCTTGTTCCCCAGTTCATTGTATGTGTGTATGAGTTTGTGTGTGTCAGTATGTGTATGCGCTTGTGAGTTCTTCCCTTAGTCTTTAGGTTTAGTTTTGTGTTAGTATAGTGTCAGGTTCATGTGCCCTCCACTGGTTCTCTTCCCCATGCAGATAATTGTTGTCACCTGCCTTTCCTCCAGTCTCACTCCACACACCTGCTTCCTGTTTCCCTAATTGCTCCTCCCTGTCTATATAAGCCCTCCTTGTCTCATTGTTCTTGACGGTCCATTGTTGTTTTTCAGCGTTATTTGTTCTGTCAGTCTGCTCTTTCCTCTTGTGTTTTTTGACTCCCTGGATTTTTGGATTTTGGCTCCCTGCCGTTTGGATTTATTTTTGTTCTTCCTCCAAATAAAGGATTTTTACTTACATACCCACTCCTGCCTCTTGTCATCCTGGGTTCTGCATCTTGGGTCCTAACCTCCTGCTCCTAAACGTGACACCTGTCTCATGCAGGTGTTCTCACATTGTAAACCTCACACACAGAACATTGTGGACGTAACAAAATAAATCAAGAAATGATTCCCATTCAGGCTATTAACAGCGCGCTGAAGATCTGAAGTTCAGAGTGCGTCTGTCAGAGGTCAGACGCGTTCCAGCAGAACCACGGCTCACGGGTGCACATGTGAGCACATCTGGGCTGGACAGAAGTAATTTTACAACATTGGTTTAAATAGCGCCAATAACGAGACGCAGTGACTTGAGCGGCTCATGGAGCTGTGCTGCGCGCGCACACACACACACACACACGCGCACACACAGATTCAATAAGCGTTTATGCTGCGCAATCTCTGGCACCGTCAGACTGAAGGCAGAAATGAGCGCTGCCTCCTCTGTGATAAAAACCTTTAAGTGGTTTTATAACAACATTTTTCAGTCCAGGTCATATTAAGATATTAGCTTCTATTTTGGGATGACGTATTAAAGTCGGGTCCGCTCCAGCCAGTGACTCCGAACCTGACAACTCATGTTACTGCAGCATTTGTTATTCCAGTCCGCGTGGCAGCAGATCGCAGATTCAGCCACACCATAAAACAGCAATAAGTCGGTCTGAGGCAAAAGTGAACCTCATGGCTATATCTTCTCCCCTATTGACATTTGATTACGCATAAGTAGGTGACCAGTTCAGGTTTACGCAGAGCAGAAGGAAGGAGAGCGCTCTGGCTGCACAGGTTAAACGTTCCTACTTTAAGAAACTGTTAAATAGCATTGTTTATGTGCTACCTGGGCATTCTAAATATTTATTTAAAATTAAATCAAAGGAAATTGTAATGGTATCGAATGTTTATTAATTACTATTTAAAAAATGAAAGTGATGGGGAAAAAGGTTGATCATATTTTTCAACCCTGTCTGTTTAGCTTGACGTCTGATATATATATATATATATATATATATATATATATATATATATATATATATATATATATATATATATATATATATATATCCATGCCCTGATGTGGGGGCTGGGGGGTGCGTCGACATGGTTGGGACATGGAAGGGGGTGCGCGGCTAAATACGTTTGGGAACCACTGCTCTAGATTTATACTTCCTGGCTCATGAGTGAGCTTTTGGTTTTTTCGTCTATAGAACTTTAGTTAGTCTTTGCTTAGAGTCCTACAGTCTAGGTTTTCCTAACAAAAGGATTTTTATTTTAAATGGCCTCTCCAGCCTTGAGTTGAGGTATTCTGCATTTTGGGTCCAATACTCCTGCACTCGCAGCGTCACACCATCTGTTTAAATCAACATCGGAGCAGACTTTGGTGACACGATCTTTGGCAGTTTTGGAGTCGGCTGCTGTCTAACGTGTTTTGGGGAGTTGAGCTTCTGCTATAATGACCCCGACACTGATGTGGTTAAAAATATCTGGGTCATGAATACTTAATACCAAGACAGGGCATGGAGAGGATCATTAGGATCCCATCTACTGACTTTCCTGCACTGTCCTAAAGCTCAAAGTCCTCTGAGACGTATGCTAATAATATCTGCTCACACAAAAAAAAAGTTAGTGAATTTCTCATTCTCCCCCATCGGATTGATTTGTGAATGTTTTGATGTAAAGCTGAATCGTTTTAAATCCACAATAAGCCATGTCTTTGTGCTGCGCTGCACCGACTGTGGATGTATGCTAATTAGGCCACTTGTGGTGTCTAAAGGGAAATGAATGAACCATCTTAACCAAAACACACACACACACACATCTGGAGACAAGAAAACAACAGCTGTCAATCAAAAATATCTATCACAATCACCATGGCAACATTCAATTCTCTTTGCCCTGCAGCAGTGGGAGCTAAGCTTGCAGCCGGTCCGTAAGTGTGTGGTTCTGTTTAAGAAGATCAGTGTATTCTTCAGTGCCCTCCTCTGCCCACTGTTTTCAGCAAAATGCTGAATTTAAAACACGTGTGTGTGTGTGTGTGTGTGCGTGCGTGCGTGCGTGCGTGCGTGCGTGTGTGTGTGTGTGTGTGTGTGTGTGTGTGTGTGTGTGTGTGTGAAGAAGCAGGGCTACTGCACATGTTTATGTTTTCTTCTTCCTGACTTATTGCATGTTGCTTGTGTTCTGTATTTATTTTTTAAATTGTCTTGAAAAATAACCAAAGGAAGCACATTTTTGTGACTTGAAGGGAAAAAATGGACACAGGTCTCTTTTTAAAGTCAAAAACTGGAGTCATACGTTTATTTAATCGTACTTCTGGTTTTTCAAAGAAATCATTAAGAATTGTTAAAGTATTTCTTTCAAGTGCGACTGAACTGGTGACACAAAGTCATGACACTTTTAAAAACAAATGATTCTCTCAGACATTCAAAGTCAAAAGTTTTAAATAGAAAGACAACATTTTCATAATAACTTAGAAAGTTCCAGCATCATAAATATTAGTTTCACTGTGAATTTTAACATCAAAACTGGTTTTCAAGTCACAAAAAAAGAGAATAAAAATTTGGACTTTTAACATCATGTGTCTTAAAGTCAATGCTGACTTTTAAAATACAATTTTTAAAGTCTGTAGCATGAAATTTTTGAAATATATTATTTATTTATTTATTTATTTATTTATTTATTTATTTATATTCAATGTTGTTTTAATTAGCCAAATACAACAACGTCATTGTTATCAGCTTTGAATTTGTTCATGCCACTTTAAGTTCTAAAAATAAATGTCTTACATTTTTGAATAGAAGCAGAGTTGTGCCTCCATAGCCAAGATTGCTGCTAACCTCATAATGAATGACTGCATTGATTACTTTTGTAATGCATGTATACCTACAATACTCACAGGAATGTGTTGATCTCTAAACACTGGATCTTATAATTAGGTGATGGAATAAAACGTTCATCCAGAGGAACAAGAGTGAGTGTCCTCTGGGGAGCCACCCACTTATAGCAAAGCTTAACCAGGCCAAAGATCTAAAGGATCAATCAATACCTGTCTCTCAGCTTCTACCCGACCTCAAGGTCTCATTTATCAAACATTGCGTAGAATCCTTACTAAAACCGTACTTAAGCTCAGCAAAAAAAAAAGTACTTACGTCAAGTAGGTTTGTGATCTATCAAACATGAAGTACGCACAGCTGCACGCAATCTCCGCTTCATAAATCAGAGACCATCTAGAAAGGTTCTCACGCCCACTTTCTGCCATAAATAGTCAATGCAAAGTGCCTTGTGGATCTCATGCATACACATAAGCCAGCTGTTGCAGCGCTCTGCCAATGACATGGCGACCGTAGATCAAGGCAGATCAAGAAAGCACAATTTCACAAGCAGAAACTGAGGTACCTGTGGGTGAGGTGGAGAAATGAAAGGAAGTGCTTTTGCAAAACAAATAAGAGAAAATCCACGGAGTGACACAGCGTTGCTGAAGCCGTCAATGTTGTGAATTCTTCAGAGAGATCTGTGGCGGATATAAAAAAAATGGTCCAGTCGGGATTCTATCCCAAGACTCCCAGGTTAAAGTCATGCGCATTAACCAGTCAGCCAAACAGGAATCTCCCTTGTCCAAGTAGCCAGAGCGCATGATCAATGGGGTCACAGTGACAGGACACACACGGTCACAGACGCATGACATTCTGTCTCAATGTGTCCCCCTGCTGATATTCTGCATTCCGTATTCTGCGCTTTAGGCTGTGTGTGTGTGTGTGTGTGTGTGTGTGTGTGTGTGTGTGTGTGTGTGTGTGTGTGTGTGTGTTTGTGTGTGTGTGTGTGTGTGTTTGTGTGTGCCTGTGTGTGTACATGTGCATGTGTGTGTGCGTGTGGGGGGTCTTGTTCTGTGTGAAAATGAAGCAGTACAAGTGATAATGAGAAGGATTTTATCCTTCTCAGCAGCAGCACTGCAGGTGCTCTCCATGTCCAACATGTGCGTAAGCCAGGTCCTTAGTCAACTCTTAAAGTTGTGCACATTTTTCCGCTAAGTTTTCTTTCATAAATCCCAAAGTTTGCGTGGAATGTTGCTTACGCAGTTTTCCAACCCTGTTTTGTGCGTAAGCAAGCTTGCTAAATGAGGCCCCTGTCTACTCATGACGAGACGGATCCTCTCTGATAATCACATGTTCTTACAGGCATCACGAGACATTAGGTCTGAGTTCCATTCATAGTAAAGAAACCTTTGGTACAAATCTAGGACAATGTCCTCTAAAGAAGACACTATATTTTAGCATCATCATCTGCAGCAAAGCACAGAAACATGCTAAAGTTACCAGGGACACTTTCTGAAGTGATGTCTCATGCCTCACATACAACTGCTTACATTTTGGGACTTATTTGTCTTTTATTATTCAGCAAATTAAATCAGTTCAGCTAGCTGAGAGGCACCATAGATGCAAAGAATAATTACTGTGGCGCGGTTTAGATGCACATGTCACTTTCAGGGTCTGTGCCTCCAGTCATAATGGAGCTTCGACTAGACATATGTAAATGTAACTGGAGATAAACTATAGCAATAAAATCTGAATAGTGAGTATGATTATGCTATTATAAATATGCGATAATGAACTTTGTGTTGTTATTGCATGTATTTACTTATGCTAACGTTACCTTTTTTCTGACCTTAGTTTTTCACTGCCATGAAAAGCCGCCATGAACTTAGAAAAAATTGTTTTTATTTCTTCATTCGAACGGGCTGTTGTTGAAACTATCCTTACAAACCCAGTCTGGACTCCTTTCAGCCTGAAAATTATAGATTAATTTCTAAACCGCCTTTTTTATGTTAGAAAAAGTTGTGGCCGATTACTTTTATGGAACAATCAACAGTTTTCATGAATTCCAATCTGATTTTATTAAAAAGCATCAATCAGAAACGGCTGAAAGCTTCCAGTGATCATGGTGGCTGCAGACAACAGGGAGCTTACAGTCTTGGAATTATTAGATCTTTCTGCAGCTTTTGACACTGTTGATCACAGCACCTTAAAGGTGTGGTTCACTGAAAAAAATGATAGTCTTCTACAATAGTCTTCTACACCTATCTCCTACATTAACTTCTGATGGAAAATGGACAGAAAAACTCTAGGATTGTCAGGATCTGGGGTGAGTCTGCACATTCCTCTAATCACCTTAAGTCATTGCAGGTGGGCGGCTCCGGAGAGCGGCCAGCTGCGATGATTTCCCTCATCTACTTCATGTGGTTATAAGGAGCTGGAGATCACTTCACCTTGCCGGAAGATTACTCAACTTGGGTAGCTCTTGCCACTATAGAAAACTACAGCTTTAGTCTAGCCTTATATTTGTCGGTCATTGTTGTTTTTTTTTGATGACCTCTGCCTTCCCTTCATCAGGAATTCTCACCACGAACCTTTCCTGCAATAACCTGGTATTTTCATCTCCAAGCCTGATCTCCCTCCTCACCCGGACCGACCCGCTCTCCCACCGCTCACCTCCCTTGGATTTTGGATTCACGTTGACGTTGCTCACCCCAGTCCTGGCTACCCTCCCAAGCTCTGGATTTCAGCTCCCACAGTAAGATCCACTACAAACTGAGTCCTGCAATTCATTTCCCCGCTGCCCAACACTGACCGTGTTTGTCTCAACAGACCCAGTCCCGGAGCTGTGCTCAACATCACCGCCACGTCTGGCGGTGCACCTTTAGTTCTCCTTAAAATAAAACATTTATTTTTTCCTACCTACGTCTCCTAGTGTGAATTCTGCATGTCTTGGGACAGGAAACTTCCCTCAGTCATGACAAGGATTTAAAAAGCCTGACAGATCTTCATCACACGGTCATTTAGCATTTATGGACTTATCCATCTTGACGCATGACGGGGAATGCTGTTGTTGGTTTAGCATTCAGGTAACAGAAGAGAAGGTCTCGGCCATAGATATGAATATGCAGACACCTCATTGGTTGCTGGAAAGCGTAACAGCTTTCGTCTGTGGTAGGGCAGAATCTGGTTTGTTTATGAAAGTAGTCCAATCCGGTTTACTAAGATTGGTAAACAACTGGGAGATATAAAAGAAGGCAACGCCATTTTATATTCAGTTCCACGTTAAGTTCCACGTTAACATCAGCTCTGTTCGATCCGAGCTCCAAGGAGTTACATCATACTCTCAACATTGTTTTCAACCAACTCTCAATCCATCACCGCAAAGAGGAATACAGGCTGGCCAGCTGTATTTCCTGTTTTAAGCTGAGAACTGACAAGCTGGAGATTTCCGTCGTTTGTACCAACGAGACAACGTTCCTTCAAAATAAGAGTGAACCTGCTGACGCCTGCCGACTACTACCGGAGTTATCCTCAGACGGGCGTTGTGTGCTGTGACCGCTGTTTCAACCAGCTCCAGTACAACCGAGGTCTTAGGACCTGGCAATTCCTGATCTACAAGGGAGACTCCATCTACGGTACGTGGCAATATGGCGGCTCATGTCATCAGCTTCTGAAGCCTCGTGGTAGCCTAGTCATAACAAACCAGACTCGCTACTCAGCCTAGAGATTCTGAACAAAACACACACACACACCAACACGAAACATCTAAATCCATATGCATTCATCACTGAGATAGTCCTGGAAGATTGTAAGAATTTATAATTATAGAAATTAAAGATTCTTAAACGATCCCAACTCTCTCTCTTTTCTTGTCTCTCAGTCAATACAGAGTGTTTAAGTAAACTCCCTGATGATAAAAACAACCACTTCTGATTGATTACTTAGATCTAATTAAGGTGTATAAATATACAAAATCAGATAATTAAATTATCTAATTACAGTGTATAAATATACAACTTCAAATCACTACACCCATTAGCTTTATGGTTCACTTTAGAATACTGACTATAACTTTCAAAGCTCTACATGGCAAAGAAAGAAAGAAAGAAAGAAAGAAAGAAAGAAAGAAAGAATTAAAGAAAGAATGAAAGAAAGAAAGAATTAAAGAAAGAAAGTGAGCTTTTACATAGTGCCTCTCAAGATAAAAATCATGAGGCGCTACCCAACAACAACTAGACAAAAATTATGATCATTTTATGACGTTACCCTTTTATTTAAAACTGATTTTGTGTTCTCTGGTTTAAATTATCTTTCATCTTAATCTTCTTTCTGTGATGAGTGCTATCTAAATAAACTTTAGTTACTACTTACTTTGTGCAGATTAAAATATGAAACTTTGATTTAAAACAGGGAGAAAAAATACATTTTTTTGAAGGTTACTTAAACAATTATTTATTCCAAGAAGTAATTATTCAAATAAAATGTTGCTTTTTATTAACAATGACTCAGTTTTATTTGTCAGAGCTGTTTGTGCACATGTGGGACTTGGATTACAATGCAATGTTGGAAGCGTGTAGATTAATTAAATTGGAGCCTCCAGCATCATGAAATCATTACAAAACCACAATTAGGCCGCTCACAATAAACCGATGACACTGTTAACTTGTCATGCACAAGCACACAGGAATAAATGAGTAAATATGAGATGCTTGACAACAAACCACATATGTGAGAGATGTTGTGCCTTCAGCTACCCATTTCTGTTCATTTGTCAAGACATCAAACAGCACGCACTTCCTGTCAGTGGTGAATCCATGTGTGGCTGCACCATCATTACATTACGGCAAACTCATAAATAAAAACCTGGAGTCTGAAACCTGCAAACAAGAGTGATGGCTTCTCTCCATGCTCCATTTATCTCTTTACTCTCTTTTTCTCTTTCTTCCTTGCTGCTCTTATTTTATGGTTGTGACCTTCTAACCACATTGTGCTTTTCCTCCATGAAGAAATCTCTCCTCTGACGCTGCCTCATGTGAAATTGTACTTGTCACATGCAGGCGTGTGCATTGACAAAATATGATCGCACAAAGTCAAACACACAGATTGGAGGAGAGGAGATCGTACGCCCCCTCCCTCGCTCGTTTTCTCACTTTTCGATTCTTCACTTCTCAGCTTTAAGCAGAAACCTTTCTCTGAGATGTTATTTGAGTCTGTGGACAACGAAAGCTTGCTTTTTAATCATGCTCTTCTTTAAGGGGCTATTTATCTTCTGCAACCTGTGTGTGTGTGTGTGTGTGTGTGTGTGTGTGTGTGTGTGTGTGTGTGTGTGTGTGTGTGTGTGTGTGTGTGTGTGTGTGTGTTTGTGTGTGTGTGTGTGTGTGTGTGTGTGTGTGTGTGTGTTTGTGTGTGTGTGTGTGTGTGTGTGCATGTGTGTGTGTGTGTGTGTGTGTGTGTGTGTGTGTGTGTGTGTATGTGTGTGTGTGTGTGTGTGTGTGTGTGTGTGCATGTGTGTGTGTGTGTGTGTGTGTGTACGTGTGTGTGCATGCATTTGAGCATGTGTGTGTATGTGTGCGCGCTTTTGTGCGTGTGTGCAGTGGCGGTTTTACCATTAGCCATAGGTCGGCAGCCGCCTGGGGCCCCCTTGTGTTGGGGGGCCCCCTAGCCCTGACCGCCAGCACCCCTCTGCTAATGCCACAATATTCTTATTACCAACCTGTCGCCGCAGACGGGATTGGACATGCGCATTTCTCATTACCATAATTCCTGAACCATTCAAGATATCATTAAAATTCCAAAAGTGCTGAAAAGGTTAAAAATGGGGCTTTTTGTGCATATACAATACATTACAGTAGCCACCGGCATGCCCTGTATTGAATGCAACGAATCACAACACAGATTCAGAGACGTGCTGAGTTTGTCATCCAAAATGCTCGTTTTATAACTTTTGAATGGCTGATCAGATTCAAATAATTGCAATGGTTCCTAAAAGTACATGAAAGCAGCTTTCCAACGATCTATAGCATCAAGCAATCAGAGCTATGGAAAAAATCGCTACGAGGGGAAATCCAGCTGTACAGCCTGATTGAAACGGAGCACAGCAGAGCTCAGCGCCGCGGTGAAAGCGGATAACGGAACGGGGAAGCTAATCAGCATAAAAAGCCGGCATGAAATTATGGAAATGCCTCAAAGAAAATCAACACGGTCTATTAGTTGTCCCAGAAGGCTTATATCTGAAAACAGTGACCATGAAGCAGATCTCCAGTGAACCAGGGTATGAACGTTTGTTCAGTCTTTATTTTTTATTTGAACAAACCTCAACTATTTGCTAATTGTAAGATTCAGCTTCACTCCAGCATTATTTATCTTTTTACTATAAATAATTATTTTTGCTAAAACAAAAGTTTTTGGTATAGCAGTGCACGGTGTGCCAGAGAAGCACCCCATGGCGGTGTGAGGTGTGCAGGACTCTGCCTGCAGCTGGAGAGAAACTGCTTCAAGGTCTACCACATCAAATAAAAACGTCTGAAAGTTTACAAAAATAAAGTCTTAAAACTGCTAAAAAATATACCAAGGTTCAAACTTTTTTAAGAATAGATGCATTACAGTTCAAAGTTTAAATTGTTTACCCAGTAATTTAGAAGTTCCTGTAAATGTAAAAAATTCAAATCCGTTTTTTGCTTTTTTCACTTTTAAGCTGATTTTTTAAAGGCTTTAATAGAAATAAATTCTAAATACAAACCATACACTGAAAGCTGAGGTTGTTCTGAAAAAAGGAGAAGAGTTACACACGCTTTGCACTTTTTATTACAATTTTACAGCCATAAGATTTAAAAAAACAGGCGGCATGTTATAATTAAGGACATTAGAGGGTTATTAAGACTGCGATGCACAAACAGGAAGTGATTGGTAGTCATTCCACTCCAATCCAGTTGGTGGCGGTAATGCACCAAATTGTTATTTGCCAAGTGCCATAAGACCACAAATAAGAATAAGAAGAGAGGCGGGAGCATTCGTAACAAACTCAAAGCGATAGTCAAAATATTAAGCATGAAATGGAGTTATCCTAGTGGCTCCAATAAGAGAAAGAAGCAGCTTGCTTCATAAAAGCTTTTATCTTCACTTCTGAAAGAAACGTTGTTTTTTGATGTAAACATCAAAAGGAAGCAGAAATGAAAGACAATGGAAAATGTTTAAAGGGAGGAAAACATGGCTCAAAATGGAAAATAGAAAAAAAATAACTAGGGCTAAAGCACAGGAGCACTGACAGGAAAAAGAAAGCAGAGCAAATATTGAAAGCTCTCAAAAGGAGGGAAATACAGGAAAAAAGGAGGACTAATAAAAAGGGAAAATAACTCATGTCAGAAGAGGGGAGAGTATCACAAATCCAGTTAAAGGTAAGATTATTGAAAATTTAGTGTAAGGGGCCCCATGTCTGTGTTTGCCTTGGGCCCCCAAATTGCTAAATCCGCCTCTGCGTGTGCGTGGATGTTTGTGTACGTGCGTGCGTGTGTGTGCGTGCGTGCATGCTTGTGTGTGTGTGTGTGTGTGTGTGTGCGCGTGCTTGTGTGTGTGTGTGTGTGTGTGTGTGTGTGTGTGTGTGTGTGTGTGTGTGTGTGTGTGTGTGTGTGTGTGTGTGTGTGTGTGTGTGTGTGTAGGAGAGGGGTCACAGTGATTTGGGAAGTGAATGACAGCCAAAAGAATATAGAGTGATCACACCACTACACACTGCTGATCTCTCGCTCCATTAGATAGAACAAAATGACCCCCCCCCCCACACACACACACACACACTCACACACACACACACATAGAAGCATAATTGGGTTTTCAGAGGAACGTTTTTTCAAACTTAAATTACATTTGTTATTTGTTCTGTCTCCTACGAGTGCTGCCCCTCTCAGCCCACCCCAGCAGTAGCCCTCGAGGGCTCCTCTGGAAATAATAATCCCAGATGTCACACCCTAATGGTAACTACTGCATAGCCATACCACCAGATGGAGAATAATAATATTAATTCTGAATTGAAGGGTGTCTTCAAGTTATAAATGAAGCTAATTTATCTGGAGTAGGATGAAGTTGTATAATTATTAAGAAAGTACCAAATGACCCATTGGTCATTTGGATTGGCTGATTGCGTCTTGTCCTCTGGTAACACCTGGCAGACAGGTGTTATTAATCAAACCAATTGCCATAATAGGAGGATTGAATCCCCGCTGGTAATACTGAGCATGGGTGAGACAAAGCTGCTTTAATCCTGTGAACAAAAGGAGTCCCAGGTCCCTAAGGATATAGGGGGGAACAATTATATATGCAATTTTTAGAAGTTAAATTAATCATACCAAGCTGCCTGACTCAACAGAAAACCATTAGAAAAATAGCTAATTAATACTCTTTACTCACTCACACACACACAAACACACACACACTCACCAACAACAGCAACATAACTGTTATGCGGTCTTCGACAGAGAATGTAAAACCAACATTTTGAATTATGCCATACTTTCACAGATTAAAACTATTGATGTTAATATTGTCTGTGGATAGCTTTTTGAGCTAATCTGTGATGTCACTCACTGCTAAAAGGGTCTGAATCAGAATCAACTTTATTGTCATTGCCCCAGCACCCTGAAGCATAGACATGTGTCTCCTTAGCACAGCCTGATCAAGGTTAAACACACAGACATGTAGAACAGAAACAGATACAGGCAGACCCCGAGAGCAGCCATGGTGCTCATCTTCATTTAGATAGAAAAGTGTTACAAGAGGATAGGAGGGGGCGGGGGGAAAAGGCATTCCGGAGTAATCTTGACAGGGGGTAGCGTTGCTATGCAATAAACACCTCATCATATAAGCACAAAACTTCAGACAGTTCATAGACATGAGTCTTAGGCAGGTGGAAGGTACGGTGAACCTGTTCACCTCAGAGAGAGCCATAGCCTCAGTACGCATGCTCGATCCCTGTTGTTCACAAGTGGGCGGAAGATCCAGGCAGGTGCGCAGATAGGGTAGGGGACGGGGGGATCTGTCCCCCCAGATTCAGATCGACTCAGGTCCTTCCCCTCCACTTATAAGGCAAGAAAGAAAACAAAATTGGAGGTTAAGTGCTTGAAGCTCCTTTTTCCAGTTACACTGAATGCAGCATGATGTAAGCGAACACAGACTCCAGGGGCACCAAAGTGGTTGCTGCTAGAACGCAGGATGAAGCAACAATTACTGAGTTTTAAAAAATACACCAACAGTGTAAGTAGGCAGGACCGATCTGTTTCTGCATGTTGGTTATAGTTTCAGTACATTGTTGTGAGTGTTGGGACTTACTCGTTATAAGCACCAAAGTCACAATATTGCGACAAGCGTCATCGCTGACTTTAACAAGTCACATCTACAAATATGATCCCTCATGAAGTTACTACTTTACACCAGAAGGTAGTGGAGATGTGGAACCTTCAGGCTGAGCAAAGTTTGGGAGTTTTGAGTTTGGAAAACGCCTCACGCCGAGAGGCTCCCAGTCGGGGAGAGGAGGAGATGCAAGCAGCATGAAAAGAGCAAATATTGTCAGGATGAAACTTACAATTGCCAGCAGGTCTGGTTTTTGTTGACTGATCACTTTGTCTGGTCATGACTGACTCCGATTATGAAGCAGAATATTGACCGTGATGAAGAAATTCACTCATCCAGCCGGAAAGATTGACGCTCCTGCAGCGCGCATCATCCGACAGCCGGTGTTGCGCGAGAGGTGTATGGAGCTTACAAGCTCCAAACGTTGGGTTTGATGTTTGTTTAACCTTGTTTGGGACGGGATGGATGTAGAAATTATGGTAAAAACACCGCTAACATGACAGACGTAGCGGCAACGTAAAAAAAGGCCTTAAAAAGAGGCAGATGCCCATGCATTATGTATGGAAGTCAAAGTGTGCCACATAATCATAAAAATAAAAGTAAAATATGACATTTAAAAAGAGCTTTATATATGTATATATAAATTAAAACTTTCCAAATATAATGACATTTTCTAAATAACCTAAAACATAAGAAGGAACATCTGTTGGTCAGAGGCTGAAAAGTCTGGGAAACACTGCTAAGTGTTAATTGAATATCATTTTTTATTATATTTTATGTGCGTTTTTTTTTTTTTTT